AGAGAGAATTTTAATATTTATTTTTTAGTTATCGGCAGACACAACATCTTTGTTTGTATGTGGTGCTGAGGATTGAACCTGGGCCGCACGCGTGCCAGGCAAGCGCACTACCGCTTGAGCCACATCCCCAGTCCCCTTTGTAACTTTCAGTTACGCAAAACCATCTTAGGATACCAAAAGCATGAGGCAAAATAAATAAATGGATAAATTAAACTTCATGAAAATAAAACTTTTTTTATTTCCAAGGATACCATGAAGAAAATAAAAAGACAACCCATAGAATGGCAGAAAATATTTCCAAATTTATATCTGATAAGGGGTTGTAGTGAAAATGTAACAAGAACTCTTGTAACTAATAACAAAAGACTAATAACAATTTAAAATAGGCAAAGGATCTAAACAGATGTTTCTCCAAAGGAGATATACAAATGGCTAATAAGCCCATGAAAATATGTTCAACTACATTAGATGAGAAACATGAATAAAACCACAATGAGATATGATTCTACACCTGCCAGAATGGCTTTAATAAAAAAGAGAGATAATTAAGAAGTGTTGATGAGGATGTGGAAAACAGAACATTCACACACTGCTGGTGGGTGTATAAAAAGGTACAATCACTTTGAAAGAAGTTAATTGCAAAAGACCAAATATTATATATTATAATTTACATAAAATGTTCAGAATAGCCAAATCTTTAGACAGAAAATATAATGGGAAGGTTGAGGGGAATGGAGAATGATTGCTAACAGGAAAGGGCTTCTTCTGGGGATGATAAAAGTGTTCTAAAATTGCTTGAGGTGGTAGATGCATACCAACTGGTGCTAGAGCAAGTAGACATCCATAGATAAAAAATAAAATAAAATAACCCAAAGTCTTATACCTCATACAAAATTAACTCATAATGGATCATGGACTTTGTGTAAAGCACAAAACTATATAATATTTAGGATAAAAAGCATATGAGAGAATATTTAGGATCTAGAGCTAGGGAGTTCTTAGACTTAACACTAAAGCATGAGACATAAAGACAAAAACAGATACACTGAACTCTACTAAAATTAAAAAATTATGCTCTGTGAAGATCTTCCTGAGATTATGAAAAAACAAGTTTTAGGCTAGGAGAAAATATTTGTGAAACACACATCTGACAAAGAATTAGTGTCTGGAATATATAAAGAAACCTCAAAGGGCTGGGGATGTGGCTCAAGCGGTAGCACGCTCGTCTGGCATGCGTGCGGCCCGGGTTCGATCCTCAGCACCACATAGAAAACAAAGATGTTGTATCTGCCAATAACTAAAAAATAAATATTAAAATTCTCTCTCTCTCTCTTGCTCTCTCTCTTTAAAAAAAGAAAAAAAAGAAACCTCAAAGCTCAACTGAAAAGAACCAATCTAATTAGAAAATGGGAAAAAGAAATGAAGAGATATTTTATTGAAGAAGAGATCTGAACAGCAAACAAGCACACAAGAAAAGATGCCCAATATCATTAGTGATTAAAGACAGGCAACTGAAAAGTAATGAAACATGATGACATAACAATGTCTAAAATAAAAAATAGTGACAATGTCAAATGTTGACAAGGATGCAGAGAAACTGGATCACTCAGATACTATTGGTGGGAATATACACTTTTGGTACAGACATACTAATTAATAGTTTGGCAGACTCTTATATACATACACACACACACACACACACACACACACACATCACTACCATATGGTCTAGCAGTTGTGCATCTGGACATTTAATCCAGAGATATTAAAACAAAAACTTGCACACAAATGTTTATAGCAGCTTTATTCTTTAAAAAAAAAAAAACATTTTTTTTTTTAGGTGTAGTTGGATACAATACCTTTATTTTATTTATTTATTTTTATGTGGTGCTAGGTGAGCACTCTACCAGTGAGCCACAACCCCAGCCCTATAGCAGCTTTATTTTTAATAGCCAGAAACAGAAAAACAAACAGGTAAATAGTTTGACAGGTAAATAGTTAAAGTGGCATAACCACACCATGGAATACTATTCAGTAATAAAAAGGAACAAAATATTAATACATACAACTACCTGGATGCTCCAGAGATGAGTTTAAAAAAAAGGCAATCATAAAAGATTACATACCATATTGTTTTATTTATATACTATTGTTGAATAACAAGATTATAGAAGTGGAGAACAGGTTAGTGGTTGCCAAGGATGAAGAAGGTGAAGGTGGGAGAAAAGTAGGTGTGGCTATAAAAGGGCAACAGGCAAGATTTTTATGGTGGTGGAAAATGTTCTATATTTCACTTTGTTAATATCATTTTCCTGGTTTTGATATTTTACTGAAGTAAAATTGCAAAGTAGAAACTAGGTAAAGGTTCAATGAATTGCCCTGCATTATTTCTTACAACTGAATGTGGATCCACAATTATCTAAAAATTAAATGTTTAATAATGATGATAATAATAGGGCTGGGGGTGTGGCTCAAGCGGTATCGAGCTCGCCTGGCATGCGTGGAGCCCAAGTTCAATCCTCAGCACCACATACAAACAAAGATGTTGTGTCCACAGAAAACCAGAAAATAAATATTAAAATTCTCAAAAAAAAATAATGATAATAATAATAAAAGGTAGTGGGGCAAAGTGGCACACACCTATAATCCGAGTGACTTGAGAGGCTGAGGCAAAAAGATTGCAAATTCAAGGCCAGCCTTAGCAACTCAGCAAGACACTCAAGCAACTTAGTGAGACCCCATCTGCTGTGACTACTACTCCTTTTTTTTCTCTTTAAAGCTCTTAAATAAATAATATTTTGACATTTTTTTATCTTATATTTAAAAATTATAAAAATAAGCTATAAAAATAGTAAAATAGTATAGGAGTAGAAAGAAGACAGATTAAAGGAATGCCTAGAGAAGACTAAGCCTATAGAAAAATTTAGTATATAATAAAGAAATTGTTTCTTTTTATTTTGGTGTGGTACTGGGGATTGCACCAGGGCTTCACATAGGCTAGTAAATGCTCTATTATGAGCTACATCCTCAGGCCAGGAGGTCAATCTCTACAGATTAAAGCAACTAGAATTCTTACTCTCCAGTTACCAGACAATTGGCCAATGAGAGATAGTGGAGGAAATCAGAGAGAGTCAATGTCAAGGTCATTGTACTGTCATGGATAACTAATTAAAACAAATAAAAAATTAAAAAAAAAAAAGAGTTAAGTATTACCCTCACCCTTCCCCTGCTGGGCCACAGCTCGAGACCTATGTTTCAACAATTGGTCTGGCTGAGTTCTACTAATTACACCCTTTCTAGTCTCTTCAGAGTTAAGGGTAAAAATAGTTTTTGGCTCTTGTTAATTCTACAATGTTTCATTATCCCTCACTTGTTTCCTCAACTTTGACCACATCGTTATAAATAAATATACTCTCTTCCTTAAACTTCTGTCAATTATCCTTGGGTGTGTCATCTACTTCGTATCAGGGTCCTGATGTACTTGCTAAGAAGCACAATCTGGAATGCTGAACTAGTAAATAGCAAGGTTCTCTGCATATTTAGAAATGAACAGTTAGAATGATGGGAATATGAAGGGCTGGGATTGTGGCTCACAGGGAGAGCACTTGCCTTACATGTTTGAGACAGTAGGTTCGATCCTCAGCACCATATAAAAATAAAACAAAAGATATTATTTAAAAAAAAGAATGATGGGAATATGAGATAGCTTTTAAAATAAATGTTGGGATGATCTAAAAAAACATCTCTTTCGGGTGCCAGGGTTGTGGCTCAGTGGTAGAGTGCTTGCCTAACATGTGTAAGGCACTGGGTTCAATCCCTGGCACTACATGAAAATAAAAACAAATAAAATAAAGGTATTGTGTCCATCTACAACTAAAAAACCAAAAAAATTTCAAAAAATCTCTTTTCAAAGCTGTACAATAAAGAATATGATCTTGCTCAAAAAGAGTTCTGACCTTACAAACGCCAGAAGTTTGTCTCCTGGAAACAAATTCTAAACCCTTGGAATTGTCTCAGTAATAGGAGAAACTTTGTAATTTGAGATGGGTCCCTTGGACCATGCCTGCAGTTTATATTAATGAGGTGACTCATGGGGGCCCCATGAACACTATCTATGGTGTCAGTTTAGCCCACTGGAAAGGAAGAGCTGGAGACTAAATTCAACCATATGGGCAATCAATCAATCATGTTTATACAATAAAATCTCAATAAAAAAATTTAACATTGAAGGCCAGGATTGGCAACATTCCATGTATATTGTCATATATCAATTTCAAAAAGATAACATGTCTGGAGGACAACAAAGGCTTTTTTGGAATCTTCCCAGTTTTTGCCCAGTGCAGTTCTTTTCTTGGCTGACCTATATCTTTTCCCTGTAACAGTGAGTTTCATAGGTTTAGTGGACTCTGGGAATCTTTTTTTTTTAAACTCAGTGCTTTTTTTTTTTTTGAACATCTTGACATAATCTTATTTGCTATGACATTGATCTTAGATTAAATTGTTCATTTTTTTAGTTAGGTGGACACAGTACCTTTATTTTATTTATTTATATGTGGTGCCAGAATGGAACCCAGGGCCTCACACATGCTAGGCGAGTGCTCTACTGCTGAGCTACAACCCAGGACAGACTTTGGGAATCTTTCTAGAAAATTATTAAACCTGAGGGTACTCTTGGGAAACCTCTGAACTTATAGGTGTGAGAGGTGAGGATAATCCTGTGGGGACAATTTGTCTAACTTTGGAGTTAGATCCTAACTCCTTGTGGGTGGGATCAGAAATCTGAGCAGACTTTAGTATTTGATAGTTTGGAAGTCTATGCCCTTCACCTCAAGATTTGGCTTATTCTGGATCAAAGCACAAAAATATAAGCACTAGAAAATATAAATTAAGATTAATTTGTAAAATTAATATTTTTTCTGTATTTATATTTATATAATTTAAATTCTTCTACTTACCTGAGGGTCCACTAACCACCCATGGTACAAGGGAATATCAAGAAGATCAAACACTATGCATTCCGGTGTATATTCAAACACTCGAACACCAGTGAATCTGACATTTACATCCAGGCCTGTCTGAAGTTTGTGCAAAATTGCCATAGCATCACTCATATTCTGAAAATAAAAAGGGGGAAAGATATAGTTTAGAAAAATAAAAACAAAAGCAACTAAAATAGCATACCCCTGTGGTCCCAGCTATTCAGGCAATTGAGGCAGGAGAACTCCCTGAGCACAGGAGTTTGGGGCCAACCTGGATAAACATGAAGACTCGGTTGTCTCTTTAATTTTTAAAAACAAATTTTCCATTTTATCCAATTTATTCAGCTCTTCAATAGATTTAAAAAAAATTTTTTTTTAGTTATACATGGTCACAATATCTTTATTTTGTTTGTTTATTTTTATGTGGTGCTGAGGATCGAATCTAGGGTCTCTTAGGTGCGAGGTGAACGCTCTACCACTGAGCCACAACCCCAGGCCCTCTTCAATAGATTTTTATTACTAAGTACCTATTATGTTCCAGCCATTCATGAGTTCCAAAGATACAATGGTGAAGAAAACAAAATTTTGTTCTTATGTAACTAACATTCTAAACATGTAAATTTACAGTACAATGTCAAGTGTTAGTAAGAAAAATTGAGGTTGTACAGAGTGGAAGGGGTGAAGGACCTATTTTAGATGTGAAAGTTTAAAGCAAAAAGAATTTCTATGGGCTGGGGATGTGGCTCAGGCGGTAGCGCGCTCGTCTGGCATGCATGCGGCCCGGGTTCGATCCCCAGCACCACATACCAACAAAGATGTTGTGTCCGCCGAGAACTAAAAAATAAAATATTAAAATTTCTCTCTCTCTCTCTCTCTCTCTCTCTCTCTCTCTCCCCTCTCTCTTTAAAAAAAAAAAAAAAAAAAAAAAAAGAATTTCTATGTAATCCCAGTGTCTCAGGAGACTAAGGCAGAAAGATCAAACATTCAAGGATAGCCTCAGCAACTTAGCAAAATTAAAAATAAGGGTTGGGGTTGTACTCAGAGGTAGAACATCCCTGGGTTCTAGCTCTGTTACTGGAAAAACAACTACAAACCAAACAATTTCTAAAGTCAGCCAGGTGTGGTTGTACCACCTGTAATTCCAGGTACTTTGAAGACTGAGGCAGAAAGATTGCAAATTCAAGCTAATCTAGGCAATTTAGTGAGACCCTGTCTGAAAAATAAAATAGCTTGCTGGGCGCAGTGGCACATGCCTGTAATCTGAGTGGCTAACGAGGCTGAAACAGGAGGATTATGAGTTCAAAGCCAGCCTCAGCAACAGGGAAGCAAGCCCTAAGCAACTCAGTGAGACCCTGTCTCTAAATAAAATACAAATTAGGGCTAGGGATGTGGCTTAGTGGTTGAGTGCCTTTGAGTTCAATCCCCAGTACCAAAACATAAAATAAAATAAGTATAACTGACACTATTAAACTGTATAATTAAAAATGATCAAAAGGATAAATTTCATAATATAAATTTTTGAAATTTTTGTTTTTTTAATAAGCTATTAAGTCATGAAAAGTCATGGAAGAAACAAATTATTTTACTAAGTGAAAAAAGTCAAATCTGCAAATACTACAAATGGTATGATTTCAAATGACACTCTGGAAATGGCAAGTCTACAGATAGTAAAAATCAGTGGTTGTGAGGGATTAGGGAGAGAGAGATAAATAGGCAAAGCACAGAAGATTTTTAGGATAGTGAAAATATTCTGTATGATATCATAATGGGGAACACATGTCATCATACATTTCTCAAAATACAAAGAACGTATAGTTCCAAAAGTGAATACAACTATGCCATGAACTTTGGGTGACAATGGTGCATTAATGATATAACAAATGTAGAACTCTGATGGGATGCTAATAGTGGGGGATGCTGTACATGAGGTATATGGAAGTACAGGAGGTACATGGAAATTCCCTACTCTTTCCACACTCAATTTTGCAGTGAATGCCTTGAATCTAAAGGAAAACAGGAAGGCTTCTTCAAAAATGATAGTTAAATAGAGACTAAAGTGAAAGTCTTGGGAAGCCCTGGGAAAAGACCATTCTAGACAAAGTGGACAGTAGCGCACAAATTCTGATGCAGAAATGAATTTATTACAGCATAGGAATCCAACAATGCTAGACTAAAATAAATGAGATGAAAAGTTGTAGAGATGAAGTCTGAGAGCCAGGCAGAAAGTGGATCAGAGACTTACTGCCCAAATTAAGGGGTCATTCTGTCCACAGTTCTCAGTAAATGTGATCATGTAAGTCAGTAATGAAGACAATTTTAAAACATTTTTTCTAAACATTTTAATAAAGTAAATATGAATATCTGTATGGAGGACATATTTGATAAAAAAATTTTAAAAAATATATAAAATTTAATAAACTTTTACAGAATCTCTACAGCTTATCAGACAGTATGCTAGAAGACATAAAAGTAGTAGTATTTAAGTAGACATAAAATAGGACTACTGGAGGGGCTTATAGTAGAAAGGATAAATATGAAATAAACCCTTCTTATATTAAAACTAGGGCTGGGTGTGGTGGCACACACCTCTAATCCTAGCAATTTGGGAGGCTGAAGCAGAAGAGTCATGAGTTCAAAGCCAGCCTCAGCAACTTATTAATGGGACCTAAGCAACTTAATAAGACCTTGCCTCAAAAAATAAAAAAGGTTTGGGGATGTATCTCAGTGGTTAAGCACCCTTGGGTTCAATTCCTGGTGCCAAACAACAACAACAACAAATTAGGGAGCATCTCTGGAATTTAAAGAAGGCAAACTTAGGTCATAAAATTAATGTTCTGGTTTTACCAAATAACTTATTAAATCCCATTTTAAGAAACTGAACAGACTGCAAACAAATTAGTAAAATGTTTTAAATGTATAAATGACACATTTATAAATAGGATAACACAGTTTTTACAGTGGATAACACTTTGTCTTCACAGTACCCTAAAACAATATATTTTCTCAGTCTTCCCGAAAGTTAACTCTTAAAAACATTCAGCTCACATTTTTTCCCTTAAGTGTTGTAAAACCTTTTCTAAAGCCACAACAATTATGAATCTGAAAAAAAAAATGTGAACAATATTGAGCAAGCTAAGGATTCTAATTCTACCACCAAATTTTTCTTGGACTATACCCAAAAGACTTAAAAAGAGCATACTACAGGGACACAGCTACATCAATGTTCATAGCAGCACAATTCACAATAGCTAGACTGTGGAACCAACCTAGATGCCCTTCAATAGATGAATGGATTAAAAAATGTGGCATTTATACACAATGGAATATTACTCAGCACTAAAAAAATAAAAAAAATCATGGCATTTGCAGGGAAATGGATGGCATTAGAGCAGATTATGCTAAGTGAAGTTAGCCAATCCCTAAAAAACAAATGCCGAATGTCTTCTCTGATATATGGGAGGTGACTCAAAACAGAGTAGAGAGGAAGAGCATGAGAAGATTACCACTAAACAGGGAAGAGAAGTGGGAGGGAATGGGAGGGAGAAGGGGAATTGCACAGAAGATGGAAGGAGACCCTCATCGTTATACAATATACATATATGATGGTGTGATGGGGAAGGAAAAAGAGAGAGAGAGAGAGAGAGAGAGAGAGAGAGAGAGAGAGAGAGAGAGAAATGTGTCACAGTAGATTGGGTAAAGAGAAGTGATGGGAGGGAAGGGCAGGGGAGGGGGGATAGTATTGCTGTATGTATATATGTGGCTGTATAACCAACGTGATCCTGCAATCTGTACATGTGGAAAAATGAGAATTCACACCCCATTTGAATCAAATGTATGATATGTCACAATCATTGTATTGTCTCAAGCAACTAATAAAAAATAAAAATTAAAAAATGTCTTTGCAGTTATTTAAAAATTTGTTGACATGCATATCATGTTTTCTTGTACTATGATGGTGTTTAACATTAAATTAAACTGAAAAAAACATGTTGTTTATTTACATCTTCTAGTAAAAAGTTAAAACTTAGGAAGATGGCAGCTCTGCATTGGCTTTTCTAAAATTAAGGTTTGACCATGTCTGCTCATATAAAATTACAAAAAAGAACACTATTACCTCATGCCTGTAGAACATTAAACACTAGTTTAGACTCAGCATATCAGCTTGGTACATACTATTCTGAAAACTAATGGTAGTGTAATAATAACCTCATAAATACTTTTAGTGCTTATTTTAAGTGAAGAGTACTTTTGGCCTGATAGTTTTAGGAAATGCAAGCAGTTGTTAAATATTATTTCTCTCAACTATGAGACAAAACTTTCAAACACTCTTTAAGAGTCTAAATCATTGAAATGAAAGTGTATCCTGAGACTGACTGCAAGATGAACTTAAACAAAATGCTAATATCATTTGAAAACATCTGTCAATCATTTCTCAAGAATGTGAAACAGAAGTAAAATGAATTCAGAGGTTGACAGAAAACTGCAATCATTCATAATTTCTAATTTTAAATCTGTCATTAATTGAAAAGCCTGATTTCAATAAGAAATTATATAAATTTGATAAATCAATTATATAAATTAAACCTTATAATCTTTTTTTTTTTTTAAAGAGAGAGAGATTTTTTAATATTTATTTTTTTAGTGGCGAACACAACATCTTTGTTGGTATGTGGTGCTGAGGATCGAACCCGGGCCGCATGCATGCCAGGCGAGCGCGCTACCGCTTGAGCCACATCCCCAGCCCCCTTATAATCTTATAAAGTATCATTTACTGGTTTTATATATTAGGGGCTTATATAAATAATATTTCATTTGAGCTGGGTGGACTGCACACACAGCAACTTGGGAGATTGAGGTAGAAAGATCACAAATTCAAGGCCAGCTTCAGAAACTTAGTTAGGCCCTAAGTAACTTAGCAAGATCCTGTCTGAAAATTAATAAATAAAAAGGGGATGGGGTGGTAGCTCAGTGGTAGAGCGCTTGCCTACGACATGGGAGGCACTGGGTTCAATTCCTCAGCACCACATGAAAAGATAAATAAATGAAATAAAGTTATTTCTTTAAAAAAAGAAAGCTTTGGGGGCTGGAGCTGTGGCTCAGTGATCTGTGGCTCAGTGATAGAGCGCTTGCCTATCATGTGAGAGGCTCTGGGTTCGAGCCTCAGCACCACATAAAAATAAGTAAATAAAAAAAAGGCATTGTGTCCAACTACACCTAAAAAAATAAATATTTAATAAAAGAAAGCTTAAAAAATTTAAAAAATATAAAAAGGGCTGGGGATATAGTTCAGTGGTAAAGCACCCTGGGATCAACCCCTGTACAAAAAAAAAAAAAAAAAGATTTCACTTGACAAATGGTTTCTATTCCTAAAAATGTTTGGAAATCATTGCTTTAAACTACAAATTATTCCAAAAAGTTTTTTGGTGGGGTCAGTGCTGAGGACTAAACTTAGGGTTTCAATGAGCTAATTCCACAGCTCTATCCTAACAAAATTCAAATTGCTTGGCATACAAATTTTTTTGGCTTTAGATATAGATTTCCTATCTTGGATAACAATGAAATTCAAGATGTTGACTTTTCAATTCTATTAGGACAAAATTATCTGAACATTAAAATCCAAAAAATTTTGCAATACTGAAATAGATTTTGCTTTCTTTTTAACTAATGAAAGTATAAAGTATATTTAAAAATATACTTTTAAAGTGAGTAAACAGGGGGGCGGGAGGGTGGCTCAGTGGTAGCACACTTCCCTGGCATGTGTGAGGCACTGGGTTCAATTCTCAGCACCGCATATAAATAAATAAAATAAAGGTCTATAAACAAACAAACAAACAAAAAGTGAGTAAGCAGGGTTGGGGTTGTAGCTCAGTGGTGGAGCACTTGCCCTGCACATGTGAGGCCCTGGGTTTGATCCTCAGCCCCACATAAAAATAAACAAATAAAATAAAGGTATTGTGTCCATCTACAACTAAAACAAAAAATATTTTTTAAAAAGTGATTAAGAAGGTTCTAGTAATGTTTATTTCTTCCCTGGTTGAGACTTCCTCCCACTAAATGAAGCAATTTTTTCCTCATTCTCTTCATAAGTAAAGAGGAATACTGAAGAAAACAAAATCTGCTTGCTTTCTTCCAGCTCTAATGATTTTGAACCTAGTAACTCTTCCTAAAGGATCTCTACATATTGAAACTACAAAGCAGCAAAATGTGTCCTAATGACATACCAGAAACATTACTTGCTTAATTTTCTCCTAAACAAAACTTCAGGTGTTGGGTATAGTTAAGTGGTACAGTGCCTGCCTAGAATACTGGGAGGCCCTGGGTTTGATTCTCAGCACTGAAAAAAGAAAAGAAAAAAAGAAAGAACAGAAAAAGAAAAACATAATTGAAAAATAAATATAAGCAAAGGGAATGACACATACATGTGAAAGTCAGTTTTTCAAAAAATTACCAGGTTATTATTCCCCACTCATCTAGTATTGACATGTCATCCTCTATAGCATATGTATTCACAGAAACCAGGAATCTTAAGTATGGCCTATGGGCCCAATCTGACTGTGGAGACTAAGGGTTCTTACATATTTAAAGGGTAAGGAAAAAAGAAAACAAAGAATATGCGACAGACACTGACCATATTTGGCCTGCAAAATTTTACTATTAAATATTTACTATAAAAACCTAAAATTTTTACTATTTAGTCCTTTATAGAAAAGACTGGGGCTGGGGATGTGGCTCAAGCGGTAGCGCGCTCGCCTGGCATGCGTGCGGCCTGGGTTGGATCCTCAGCACCACATACCAACAAAGATGTTGTGTCCACCGAGAACTAAAAAATAAATATTAAAAATTCCCTCTCTCTCTCTCTCTCACTCTCTCCCTCCCTCCTCTCTCACTCTCTCTAAAAAAAAAAGAGAAAAGACTGCAAGTCACTGCTAGAGAAAACAATGAATATATTCATAACATAAAAATTAAATGTCTTAATATAATAAAAGTCACATTTATTACCTGTTCATAATTTAAACGTTGAATTTCTGAAATTTCTTTTGGCTTCGAATCAAGCATGTAATCTCCTGTAAAAACAAAATTGTGAAATTGCCTTTTTAAAATGTTAATTTTTTTGTTTATAAAATTAAGCTTTCAATTATAAATTTTTAAACACTGGATCAATAGAGGATATAAATGTTGACCCCTCAATTCTATCCAGAGAAAAGCAATAACTGTTTGCTATCCTCAGATTTTTTTTTTCAATGTACTTAAAAATACCATTAAATTTTTCTTATCTCCCATTATAATACATTTGAGTTTCTTTATATATTACTACTCCCAAACATTGTAACAACTTCTATTGCTATCAATCAAATATTCCTCTAATTACTTCATTAACAGTGAGTGTTATAAGTATGTTAAATATCCAAAACTCAGAAAAACCAAAATTTTTTTGCATTAAAAAATGGATATTTAAAAATATGTTTTTTAATTTGGTCTCACTCCTTACCCCACTACACATCCTCATGAATTGGAGACTGACCCCGTGGGAAATTTATCACAGAGCATTATCTCCAACCAGTTTTATTGTTTATTTTGAAAGGCTCTCACTAAATTGCTTACAGCCTCATTAAACTGCTAAGGCCTTGTATTTGTGATCCTCCTGCTTCAGCCTCCCAGGTTGCTGAGATTACAGGTGCACAACAAAAAAATATTATTTTTAAATTTTTTGATTGTCTGGGGAATTGAACTCAGGAGCGTCCTACTACTAAGTCATATCTCCAGCCCTTTTTAAAAATGTGAGGTATGGTCTCACTAAGTTGATGAGGCTGGGCCTTGAACTTGATCCTCCTGCCTCAGCTTCCTGAGTTGCTGGTATTATAAGCATGAGCACTTGCCCAGCACTTGTCTCTTTTTAATGTTTAAATTTTTCATTTACCTTATTTATTTTGAAAGAAACATTGAGATATGGAACTAGTTCTAACCCAACCTCCCAAACTGCTAACAAGCTAATAAAATTGCTTTAATATAACCTTTATTTTTCTAATTCAAAATAAACTTTTAAAGACTTCATCAAATATTGTGTTAAACTTTCCAACTCTGATCACAAAAGAATTCCTATGAACATTAATATATTATTTGTGTGCTTTCAATTAGAACTTTAAGATAGTAAAGTCTAACCAACAATATTTCATTCTGCATATGTAGAAGGACTCCAAAAGCATTAAATTAATTGGGTTGATGGACATGTATAAGTAAGTCAATTTACAAAAAATGTTTTGAGTCTTTACACAGCACATTATGTGTATTGCTTTTTGGCAATGCTGGAAATAAAGCCCCATGCAGGGCTTTCATGAATGTCAGGCAAATATTCTACCACTGAGCTACATCCTCAACTTCATGTTGAGTTTTGTTTTGTTTAGTTTTTAATTTTTTTTATTTAAATTTTTTTTTGTAGTTGTAGATGAATAATACTTTTACTTTATTTACTTATTTTTATAAGGTGCTGAGGATCAAACCTAGTGCTTCGCACATGCCAGGCATGCACTCTACCACTGAACCACAACCACCCCATGTTGAGGTTTTGACAGAAGATTTAATTGAAGAGGCTGTGGTTGTAACACAGTGGTAGAGCTCTTGTCTAGCATGTGTAAGGCATTGGGTTCGATCCTCAGCACCACATAAATAAAATAAAGGTTAAAAAAACTTTAAAAGAAAAAGATTTAATTGAAAATATGCTTTATTTTGAGCATATGCTATATATTATTTATTCAAATAACTGAACAAAAATGTTATACTTGAATCCTATATTTCATTTGGATTCAATGTTTATTTTGATAAGAGACTGCATGTTCTCCTGAATATCACAATAGTAGGGCCAGGATTCAGAGCATTATATAAAATAGCATGAAATAACCCTGGACATGTTACCATAGACTAAAGTTTAGGTGCAAAGAGAATGATTACTGGGAAAGACTCAGATAAGTAACTCTTTTTTTTCCAGAGGCCAAAGTTTCTAGTAAATAAAAGAAGAGCCTAGTTAAGGAAAACAACCTCTAAGATGGGCCTCAATGATCTCCATCCTCCTGATATTCTACCACTATTTTTTCTTCCCACTAGGCTGGGGATCATAGAACTCAAGGCCTTGCACATTCAATACAAGTACTCTACTGATGAGTTATATTTCCCAACTTCTTTGTATAATCCTCTTTCCCTGAGCATAGAATGAATTTACTAACTCAATTCTAATAAATAAAATGACAGAAGAGGGCTGGGGCTGTAGCTCAATGGTAGAATGCTTGCCTAGCATGTGTGGGGCACTGGATTTGATCCTCAGCACCAAATAAAAAATAAAATGAAGGTATTGTGTCCATCTACAATTAAAAAATATATTTTTAAAAAATGGCAGAAGAAATGAGTTGTCCCATTAAAAATTAGAATATAAAATATTGTGGTTTTTGTAGTTCTGTTCTTTCACCTGAGAAGGAACAGCTGCCATGAGCTGCTCCTATGGCAAGGACCTGGGGGCATTTTAAATCAATAGCCAGGAAAGAACTAAGGACCTCAGTCCAACAACCCATGGGGAACTATATCTTGCCAACAACTGTGTAAATGATTAGAAGACGATTCTCCTAAGCTGGACCTTCATTTGAACCTGCAGCCCTGGTCAACACCTTGACTGGAACTCCCTGCTATACCCTGAATTAGGGCAACCTAGCTAAACCTAATCCAAATTCCTGATCTAAAGGTTCTGTGAGATAAATACATGTTTACTGATTGAAGTCACTAAAATGTTGGAATGATGTTATATAGCATTATATAACTAATACATAATAAGAGAACCAGATATATTTTTAAGAGACTATTGTGTATATGTATATACACATGCATGTGCTAGGGATCAAACACAGAGTCTCGTGCATGCTACACATGCATTATCACTGAGTTACATATCCAGCTCCTAAAATCATATTTTTAAAAGACTGAGTTTGAGACTGGGCGTGGTAACCCATGCCTATAATCCCAGCTGCTGGGAGGCAGAGGCAAGAGAATCACAAGTTCAAAGCCAGCCTCCGCAATTTAGGCACTAAGTAACTCAGTGAGACCCTGTCTCTAAATAAAATACAAAACTGGGCTGGGGATGTGGCTCAGTGGTTGAGTGCCCCTGAGTTCAATTCCCAGTACCATTAAAAAAAAAAAAAAAAAGACTGAGTTTGAGTTTCTAAAGAAGTATCTTCAGAAAGTATCAATTGTAGCTATATAAAAAATCTCTTAAGAGAGCTATTTTTTGCCTGCACATCTGTAATCCCAGCAGCTCAGGAGGCTGAAGCAGGAGGACTGCAAATCAAAGCCAGCCTCAGCAATTTAGTGAAACCCGAAGCAACTTAGCAAGACTCTGTCTCTAAATAAAATATAAAAAGGGGTGGGGATGTGGCTCAGTGGTTAAGCACCTCTGAGTTCAATTCCAGTACCCCCACCCAAAAACAAATGAGTGCTATTTTCTCTAACTGATCTAACCTTTGTTATCTATATTTGGTCAACAATACTATTTTGATCACAAAGTATTTCTTGAAAGTTTACTAAGTTTAGTGAGGGGTTAGAATAAATGTTAGGATGTAAATGTTGCTGTTTAAAAAAAAATTTTGTTAGGCAAAAACCTTATAAGATATACAGAATAAGATAATGACAAAGTATAATATAAAATGTAAAAAATGCTTAAATACCAAGTGATTTTGAAAAGAGATTGATCAAGTCTGTCAACTTCAGAAATCCTGTGAAGGGAGAAGTCTAAACTGAATTTAGCAAAATGGGGAGAACTTGGAAAGGCAGTAGAAGAAAAAAGCATGTTTTGAGGGAAAAGGAACGATAGAGAAAGCTAAATAAGAGGGCTCGAGATTAGCTCAGTGGCAGAGTACTTGAATAGCCTGAGCAAGGCCCTTGTTCAATCCCCAGCAATGGGGGGGGGGGGGAAGCACAAATAAGAAAGATCATTTCAGGGGAGGGGGTTGGGAGGAGCTGGGGTTGTGGCTCAGCGGTAGAGCACTCACCTAGCACGTGTGAGGCACTGGGTTTGATTCTCAGCACCACATAAAAAAAATAAAATAAAATAAAGGTATTTGTCCAACTACAACTAAAAAATATTTTTAAAAAAGAAAGATCATCTTATATGAGTAGCTTACAAAACTAATCCACAAGATTTATGTTGCAAAGTAGTGGGAAATCCAGTTGCATGAATAAATCAATGAGATTATAGGAAATCATAAATAATGTGCTGATAAATGTGGCTCCTTTAAAAAAAAATCATAGGGACTCTTTATGTTTTAGCTTTGGTTTGTTTTGTTTGCATTGCTGGGGATCAAAGCCAGGGCCTCACACATGCTAGCAAGTTCTTGTCTTTAGCACTGAGTCATATCCCTAGCTCTTTCTGTCTTTAAATAGAGTGAAGAATAAAATTGATGCTTTAGGAAGAGTATGATGATATAGAGGCTAACTTTGAGGGCAGAAAATGATAGTTTGCAATAAATCAGATGGTGAAGTATTAATATATAGAAAAGGGAATTTCAAAGAAAGGAGTTATTGCTACTAATGGGATATTCCAGAAAAACAGAAGCCAAGGAACAAAACCATGACAGTTACATTAGGCAAAAAAAAAAAAAAAAAAAGGGAGAATGAGTTTGGCAGCAATTATTTTATGCCAAATGAACATTTGGAAAAGAAGTGATCTCGTCAATTCTAGGCAAATTAAAATGCTTTAACACTGACCACTTTTATAGCATATTTATATTCAAATGATAAAATTAAAAAGATAAATTTGGGGGTACTATAGGGATTGAGTATAGGGGCACTTAACCTCTGAACCTCATCTCCAACCCTTTTTAAATTTATTTATTTATTTATTTTTTTGAGACAGGGTCTTGCTTAGTTGCTTAGGGCCTCAATAAGTTGCTGAGGCTGGCTTTGAACTTGCAATCCTCCTGACCCAGCCTCCTGAGCCCCTGCAATTACTGCTGTGTGCCACAGTGCTCAGCAAAAGATAAATTTTTTAAAGTCAGAGAATGCCACTATCCCATCAACTGTTTTCCCC